CCACACACAGAACCTCCTGAACTCACAGCACCACACACAGAACCTCCTGAACTCACAGCACCACACACAGAACCTCCTGAACTCATAGCACCAAGCACAGAACCTCCTGAATGCACAGTGCCATACATAGAACCTCCTGAACTCACAGCACCTTGCACAGAACCTCCTGAATTCACAGTGCCACACACAGAACCTCCTGAACTCCCAGCACCACACACAGAATCTCCGGAACCCACAGCACTGTGCACAGAGCCTCCTGAACCCACAGCACCACACACAGAACCTCCTGAACCCACAGCACCACGCACAGAACCTCCTGAACTCACAGCACCACGCACAGAACCTCCTGAATTCACAGCGCCACACACAGAACCTCCTGAACTCACAGCACCATACACAGAACCTCCTGAACTCACAGCACCACACACAGAACCTCCTGAACCCACAGCACCATGCACAGAACCTCCTGAACTCACAGCACCATACACAGAACCTCCTGAACCCACAGCACCATGCACAGAGCCTCCTGAACCCACAGCACCAAGCACAAAACCTCTTGAACCCACAGCACCATGCAAGGAACCTCCTGAATTCACAGTGCCACACATAGACCCTCCTGAACTCACAGCACCATGCACAGAACTTCCTGAACTCACAGCACCATGCACAGAACCTCCTGAACTCACAGCACCATGCACAGAACCTTCTGAACTCACTGCACCACGCACAAAACCTCCTGAACCCACAGCACCATGCATAGAACCTTCTGAACTCACAGTGCTGTTACTGGAATTTCTTCTTCAGTAGGTCCTTGGTCTCAGGGATTCAAAGAATGAATCCATGGACCTCAGATCAGTGGTAAGATAAGATTTTATTAGGCAGGAAAGAATAAGGAGTAAAAAGCACGAGAACTTCTGGCAAAGGGGAAGACTCAAGTTGGAAGTTCCTCTCCCTTGGGTCCTTTGTCTAGGGGTATATATTGTCTGGAAAATTATGTTTTGGCTAGGATTTGGTAGGTGGAAAAATATCCTTTCAAAGTTGAATGCAGTCCCCCCACCCAGGGCAAGGTTATTAGGGCTTTGCAGTTTTTGTCTCAAGGAAGGAATTGGGGTATGTGCTCCCTACTCAAGGTGGAACCACCCAAAAAACATCTCAGATTGCCTTGTTCATGATCTTGTTAGAGCACAGAGGGTGTGGCTAGGTAAAGGCAGCCTGTTTGTGCCTGAAAATGGAGGTAGGATTTCTGAGCTCACCTGAGCCTAGAGAATGGGGTGATCCCTGCCCAGTCCTGAGTGGAAGAATCCAGTATCAGGGCCATACACATCTATTCACAGTGCCATGCACACAACCTCCTGAACTCACAATGCCACGTGCTTTTATGGTGCAAACAATAACCACCAGACAACTCCAAAACCCAATTGGGAGTCTTTATTGACTGGCTGGCCAGCTGTCTCCCTGAGTAAAGAGAACAGCCATGACCAGCTCGGAATTGGGGTTTTTATAGGGTTAGAGATGCAAGCAAGCAAGCAAGCAAGCAAGCAAGCAATCGGTTATCATAACTGACCTTCACAGAAGCAGACTTTGCATTTGCAGTTAGCAGATAAGCAAACAATTTTTCACAATACAAGCTCAGTAAGTTCTTATCCTCTCTCCCGCCCCCAGTCTAAGGGGGTAGTGCAGGGCCACGGTGGCCATCTCATTGCAGAACCTCAGGAACTCAGAGCATCAGGCACAGAACCTCTTGAACCCACAGCACCACACAAAGAGCCTCCTGAACCCACAGTGCCAGGCATAGAACCTCCTGAACTCAGGGCCAGGCACAGAAACTTCTGAACTCACAGTGAGACGCACAGAACCTCCTGAATTCACAACACCTGGCACAGAACCTTCTGAACTCGGCCAGGCACAGAACCTCTTGAACTTGCAGTGAGACGCACAGAACCTTCTGAACTCATAACACCTCTTGAACTCACAACACCAGGCACAGAATTTCCTGAACTCAGCTCCAGGCACAGAACCTCCTGAACTGAGTGTCATATACAGACCCTCCCCACAGGCAAACCCTGCATAGGACATCAGTACATTCACATCAAGATTAGGAGTGAGGTGGGAATGGCCGTTACCACAATTACTGTTTCATGTGACACTGGGAGCTTTCCCAACATAGAAGGAAAGTTAAAGAAGAGAGTGAGGATTTGAGGGGAAGAAGTAAAGCAAAAGATACAATGATCTGTTCTAGAAAAGCCGAGAAGGTCACAACTTGTTAGAATGTGTAAAATAATCTAGCAGGTTTTCAGAGTACAAGAGCAGCACACAAATGAACAGCCTTTTTTTTGTACAAGCAATAACCAAACAAAATTCAATTTTAAAAATACACAAACCAGGCTCAGCA